ATCTTTTGATTTCGTCAGCGACGTATGCTATCCGGAGATCATTGTGTAGTGTTTGGTTCGTTACATACCATGGGGCGTTGGTGATAGTGCGTAAGATTTTTGACTGCAATCTTTGGATGATTTTGACGTGAGACGGTTTGGTGCAGCCCCATAGTTGTATACCGTATGTCCAAATCGGTTTCAACATACATTTGTACAGTAGCAATTTGTTTTCGAGGGTTAATTTTGCTCTTCGCCCTATTAGCCATTGCATTTCTCGGACCTTGAGGTTTAATTGTTGTCGCTTGGTTTTTATGTGTTTACTCCATGTGAGTTTTTGATCAAGATGTAGGCCTAAATACTTAACTTCGGTTTGGAGCGGTATGATTCTGCTTTGAAATGTGACTGGTGGACATAGGGTACGCCTCGTAGTAAATGTTATTTGCGCAGATTTGTTGCTGTTTATTTTTATTCTCCATTTGTCGAACCAGATCTGAAGTATGTCGAGATGCTCTTGTAGATGTTGAGATGCTACCACTGGATCTTCGTTTATTGCCAAAATAGCTGTGTCGTCGGCAAATGTGGCTATCGTTGTGTTGTCTGTTACAGGTAAGTCTCTGGTATAGATTAAATACAATAGTGGCCCCAGGACACTTCCCTGTGGAACACCGGATCTAATAGGATTGCACTGCGATATCGTATTATTGTACTTTATTTGGAAATGCCTTTCGGAGAGATATGATTTCAATAATTGATAGTAAGGGCTTGGTAAAGTGCTTTTGATCTTGAATAATAGTCCCGGGTGCCAGACCTTGTCGAAAGCTTGTTCGACATCAAGAAATGCAGCTATACAATATGTTTTTTCTTCGAGGCTAGTGATTATTTTATTCACGATTCTGTGTGTTTGGTGTACTGTCGAGTGCTGCTCCCTGAACCCAAATTGGAAATTAGGAATTATGCCGTTTATCTTGATGTCGTTTGAGATTCTATGTAATAGTAGTCTTTCGAATAACTTTGATGGGATCGGTAGCAGACTGATGGGGCGATACGATCCTGCTTCATTTGCGGGCTTTCCTGGTTTGTGGATGAGGATAATCTGGGCGAGTTTCCACAGGATAGGAAAATACGATAATCTTAGCATGCTATTGTATATAGTCGTCAAAAGTACTAGCGCTTTTTTTGGAAGTTTTCTTAATACTTTGCTCGTAATTAGGTCATATCCCGGAGCTTTGTGCAGTTTTAGGCTTTTTATTTCCTTTGCAACTTCACGAGGAGAGATGGGTGTAATTGGAAGTGCCATTTGAAGTGGTGCATCCAGGTAGTTGTCAATTTCGCTATTGTCGTTATTTCCATTTTGATCATGAGGTGTGAATACTTGGACCAGATGTTCAGCAAAGGTGTTAGCCTTTTCTCTTTCGCTTCGGGACCATGTTCCATCCGCTCTTCTAATAGGTGGGGTAGGTGTTTGAGGTTTCTTGAATTTCTTTGTGGCCTTCCATATTGTGTGGTCTTCTCTTTTAAGTGATGTTATATATTGTTCGAATGATCTGTTTTTGATGTTAATTAGGGTTCTGTGTAGCTTGTGTTTTAATCTGTTGTAGATGTTTCTGTCCTCTTCATGTCTTGTTCTCTGCCATTTCTGCCTTGCTCTTCTTTTCTCACTTACTAACTCGCGTACATATCGAGGTAAATTAATTGTGCTAGTTTTTATACCGACTTGGTTCGTTGACTTCCAGGCTGCGTTTTGAACTAGAGTTGTGAAATGTTGTACTACTTCGTCGAGTTCGTCCGGGTTTTTAATTCTTGCCTTTAGGTTTATGTTTTCGTTAATATATGATTCAAAGATGTCCCATTTAGTGTTGTTATTTGTCAGTGTAGGTGTGGGCGGTTTATTTATTACGTAAGTGCTTAGTGTTAGTATGACTGGACTATGGTCTGACGATAATTCAAAGTTTGATTCTGTTGTCATATAGTTCGTAGCGAAGCCTTTTGATATAAAAAAGTCTAGTAAATCTGGGAGTTTGTTGGCATCGGTGGGCCAGTAAGTCGGTTCTCCAGTGGTAAGAGAGTCACAGTTCAGTTTGTTCATCGCTTTGAGAAGATTTCTGCCTTTTGGGGTTATTAGTCTTGCGCCCCATTGGGAATGTTTTGCGTTCCAGTCACCACCTGCTAAAAACTTGTTGCCTAGTGTTTCAAAGAATTCCTCATATTCTTCATTATGTATTGCATGCCTGGAGGGACAGTAGACGGCTGATATTGTTATTGGAGATGGCTTGCAGTCAACTTTAATATTGGTAGCTTGGAATTTATTTGTCTGCATGTGATTAAGCTCATGATGAGAGATTGTGTTTCGAATTATAATAGCCGATCCGCCGTGTGCTGTGTCATCTGGATGAAGTGCTTGGTATAGTTTATAATACGGAATTTTTATCATAGTTCTTGTAGTGAAATGAGTCTCGGTGATTAATGCAATGTCTATTTTATGGGTGTGGAGGAATGTTTCAAGTTCTAATTTATGGTTGGAAAGTCCGTTGGCATTCCAGAGTAATATTCGCAGAGAGTTGAAAATTAAGCTAGTTTATTTATTACTGTGCTTAGCATGTTTAGAACCATGCTGTTTTGGTTGATAAGCTGATTAAACATTGCTTTAAATTCGTTTAGAAAGGTAGATAATTGTACTCCAAGATCAGTGGGTTGGTGCCATGTGTCGCCGTTGTTGATGTTGTGGTTCCCTTTTGCTGCTTGTGCATATGTTTGTTGATTATTAGAGCTTTGCTGTTGTGCGTTTGAAGGAATTCTTGGGTTGATAGGAGTTTGCATATTTGGAGTATTTATTTTATTAGGATTAGTTTTGTTTCTTGCGTTTATTAGGTCTTTATAAACGGAGCAACCTTTGTAATTAGCAGGATGTTCGCCTTTGCAAAGCACACAAGTAGCTGGTGTATCTTTGGGTTTTTTGCAAATTTTTGTATCGTGTGGGCCTGCACATTTCACGCAGTTATATAGTTTTGTACAGTAACTTTTGGAGTGCCCGTATGCTTGACAGCGCATACATTGGATAATACCTTTTTTGTACCTTGGTGGCTCAATATCGATTTTAGTGTGTGAGATGTATTCTACGTTGAAAACTTCTTTATTGTTGCTCTTCGGTTCCAGGTCTACAAAAAATAGGGGCAGAGGTTCCTTTGTAGATCTGTGTCTAACATTGACAACATTTCTTACTGTGTGGCCTTTTTTGGATAGTTCATCTATTATATCGTTTGGTGGAACAGAGTGGTGTAGTCCTCGGATAACGATTCTGTATGCTCTTTCCTGTCTTATTTGGTAAGTGTAATGTACTATGTTTTCTTCTCTCATGTAGGTAATAAGTTTCCTATAAGTGTCTGGAACATGGGCATTGATCCTTATTATATTATTAGGGAGAGCTTTGGTATAGTATGTTTCTTCTGGTGTCGCTGTGGCTAAACTATCCAACATCAATTTATAATCTTTGACTCCATAAACATATATAGGTGGTGGTTTAGGGTCTCTTTGCGTTTGACTTGGTGGCTGGGTCTTATTTCCACTGGAAGGATTGTCGTTGACCATTTCAACTTCTTCTGTGTTTTTTTCCGAGAGCGTTTGGAATCTGTTTGTTGTTGTGGTTTGTTGGGTAGTTTCTGTAGATTTTTGTGTCCTGTAGCGTTTTCTTTTGTGTGAAACCTCTTGCCACGGGTGGCTTTTCTGTGCTTCTGTTTGATCGTTACTATCATGTAACATGTATTCTTCATCATCACTTGATGGTAGGCTTGCCGTCTCATTCAATTGGGTATTTCTTCTTGGAGGGTTTTGTTGGCTGGTAAAATGAGTTTGGTTTACATACGGGTTTGGGGGTAATATTGGTTGAGAAACGTGTGTTGGAAGAGCGTTTTGGTTTTGAGGAAAAGGGTTTTGGTGAAATGACTGTTGTTGAATGTTTGGCATCATTGGATTCATCGACTGGAATGTTGGTTGAGGCTGCATAAAATTTCCTGACTGCATTGCTTGCATGTAGTACGCATTTTGTATATCGTTGCTCGAACCGGGGCCATTGCCGGTCGGAAACATTGTTTTGTTCAGATTAAATATCTGATGATGTGTGCAGTTGATACCCACTCAACTCGAAAAACTGTTAAACCGATAAATACACTGATAAGTTTATGGAAGAATTCGCAAAATAATATAAACAATTATAGTTTTGCACTTTAAAAGTCAAAAATGCAGACACATTGGTGTGTTACATGTTGCTATTTGGTACTAGGCTTACTGTCCAGAATTATTTTCCGCTTTAAATCACCGTTGTCACTCTAACTATCACAGAGTGAACACATTAGCTGTTAACCGGGTGTTGGTTCAATTGGAACTCCCCCTTAAAGATATGAAAACGATTTCTGTAGGTGGGCTACTAGCCAGGTAAAAGGAATTTGGACATGTGTTGAAAAACTTTTTATTTTATACAGGGTGTGTATAAAAATTGTACAAAGTTGAACATCAAAAATATCAAATTTCTTCATTTTTTTAAATGGAACAACCCATTTTTTTCTATTTTAATAAATTCTCAATAAATTGAATTATTTACTTGTTCTTCCAAACATAAATTATTATATACTCGTAATACAGGGTGTCCCAATGAAAAATAGCCCCTTTAAATACAAAATACAAAAATGAAAGAGCTATTAATTTGTAAACGCCTAATCATAAAAGCTCATTATAGGGGCTACTTTTTATTGGAACACCCTGTACTTGTAAAATCTTTTCGTTTGTTTAATGAAGATACCTAGGTATATTTAAGTTTAAATAAATACTGGTACTTCCCTAATTTTGTGTAAATTGAATTACCCACATGCTATTCTATAAATAATAATAATAACATTTTTTTTCTCTAGCTTAATGTAGGATAAATTTTCAAAATTTTGCTGTTGTACTTTTGTATAAAAGAAAATTGGGTAGTACCGCTCCCTCATTTTTTTACTCTTATTACATCTATTCTTTATATTTTATAGGATTTTTATTATGCCTGTTCAGATAAGTTTCGGAATACTTACTGGTAAGTAGGCAACTCATTTTACATTTCTTTGATTCAAATTGACTCTCCATTACAGTCAGCGACAGCAGTTATGCGGATAAGGGCAATGTTTTGTCAAGTCCTAAATTAATAGAAGAAATATTAAAGGAGTTTCCATCTGCCGAAATAAGCGCAATAAAAATCGTACCAGACGATTTGCAGGAAATTAAATCGACTCTAACAGAATGGTTCGACTTGAAAATCAACGTAATATTCACAACAGGCAATCTACCAGACATGATCTTCGCTATGATCACCAGTAGCTTGAAGATCATTCCAATTGCGATGCTCTCCAGACCCTTGAGCGGTATTAGAGACAACACGATGATAGTAAATCTGCCGGGAAGCCCTGAAATGGTTTCGGAATGCTTCGGTATCATCAAGGAAGCCTTACCCCGCGCTTTGGAGCTCCTAACAGAACAAAAAAAATCAGTGGTTTCTGGTCACGAAGCCATTCTGAGCGACTCAGGAGCATCCGTTGTCCCAACCACCAGCTCCAGTAAGGTAATTTACTTAGATATCAGCGAAGGTACTGTTTTGTTCTTTGTAAGAATCAAAGCCGGTCCTGTCCCCCGACCGTGTTCCTGCGTCGAACTCCGAGTCGAAAACCGAACGCTCGGGTTCGGGGGGTTCGGAATCGGCCGAGGTTCCCGTCGTTGTTCTTGTCATGATTTTGGACGAACCACCATTTTTTTTAATTATTGTTTCGTCTCTTAAATTGTATATCGAAGATTAGGCTTCACCTATGGAATTTTCAATTTTATTAAAGTTTGTTTGAACTATGGTCCTTCGTATTTTTTTATGTTTGGCGACAACCATACAGGTACTATTGAGCGGTATTAGAGACAACACGATGATAGTAAATCTGCCGGGAAGCCCCGAAATGGTTTCGGAATGCTTAGGTATCATCAAGGAAGCTTTACCCCGCGCTTTGGAGCTCCTAACAGAACAAAAAAAATCAGTGGTTTCTGGTCACGGCGCCATTCTGAGCGACTCAGGAGCATCCGTTGTCCCAACCACCAGCTCCAGTAAGGTAATTTACTTCGATATCAGCGAAGGTACTATTACTCAATTTGAATTTGTCTTTATTTTCGTAGGTGAAACTGGCTCCATTAAGAAAATACCGCTACCCTATTATCGATGTTGAATTTGCTTCTGATTGTATTAAGGATGTTTGTTCTGATAAAGAGGTAACCACAGAAACGGTGCCTTTGGAGAGATCGCTTAATCGAATTGTAGCAGAAGATATTCATGCTGAAGAATCGATTCCTTCATTTCCAACTTCGTTTATAGATGGTTACGCAGTTAAATCGAGCAATGGCAAAGGAATACGTGTTGTGAAGAATGTCGCAACTGCAGGAGATAAGGTATGTAGATACATTTACAAGATTTCTAAAAAAAGAACTCATTAGAATTGTAATAAATGAAGCAGCCAATCGATGAAGTTCTGCAGTCAGGCGAAGCGATAAGAATATCGATGGGAGAACCAATTCCTGCGGGAGCAGACGCAGTGGTACCATTGGAAGATACTTCAGTTGTTGAATATTCGATTGATGGTTCTGAAGTAATTAAGGTGAAAATCAAAAGAGCACCCAACTATAATGAAAACATAAGGTAAGGGAAAATTTTTAAATACAATTGTGGCATATTTAGTAATTTTTTTAGAATAATCGGAAGCGACGTATCGAAGAATTCTTTGGTTTTAAAAAAAGGCGAACGTATCAAACATTTCTCTCTTGGAGTTTTAGCCATGTTAGGAAAAACAAATATTTTGGTTTATAAGTAAGTTCATAAGTTCTTATAAGTATAAGTAAATATTCAGTTTCCTAAAAGTTCCCTCCTTTACTGTAATACATTTTTTTCTAGACGCCCTTCTATAGGAGTCATATCAATTGGCAATTATATTTGTGAACCTAAAGAAAAACTAGCCCCTGGCAAAATCAGAGATGCAAATAGATTCACCTTAATTAATTTGCTTAAAAATTACCGTTATAAATCAAACGATTGTGGTATAGCTAAAGACAAGTAATAATTAATCCTATGTATTTGATACTTTTTTAATACAATAATTTTTAGTCCTGATGCAATAAAGCAAGCTCTTGAACAAAGTTTTACTTGTAACGATGTTATTATTATAAGCAGTGCAATGGGAGAATTGGACATGTTGAAACGGGTCCTCGTTGAGGATTTTCAAGCTACTATACATTTTTGCAGGATAAAGATGAAACCCGGGTAAGTCAAAGTTTCGTAACTTGAAAGATTTCAATGATTAAATAATTATCATTTTGTTATAGAAAATACACGACCTTTGCGACACTTATGTATAATGAAACATGGAAAATGGTGTTTGGCATAACGGGTTATCCATCTTCCTGTGCAATAACTTGTATATTATTCGTTATTCGTGCCCTACGCTTAATGGAAAAATCTCCCTACGACGGTTTTGTACCTATTTCTGTGCCACCAAATTCATTTAATATAGTAAGTAAAAATTTTGTTAACAGTGAAATAATTATATTCGAAATACGTTTTGTTTGAAATAACTAAGCTCCACTTTTTCTTAAAAACTTTATTTCTTTAATACAATCCGTTCGCTATCAGGAGATACTAATAAAACCTAAATTTGCAAATAATATGAAAAGTAGGTAATTAATATGGAAAATACATCAGGAGCGATTTAATGAAAAAAATCATAAAATTCCAAAACGTTACAGCTTTTAACATTGTATAATAGTTATGTTTATTTTACTTTATTAGTTCTCTCTGTATACAGGGTATTACCTGTTACTAGGTTTTATTATTATTTTACTATTTCTTGATAGAAAACAGAGTATAGAATATAATATTACAATAAATTTCATTTTTTAGCGTCCGTTACCATATAATAATGATGATTGTCCAGAGTATCGACTAGTTAAAGTAAATAGGACTTTGACTGGAATGACAACTGCAGAGGATGTATCAAGGTTATTAAGTAATTTAGATAAAGCAAACGGTTTACTTATAATTGAGCCAAAAAAAAAATACTCAAGTAAAGATTCAAATGGAGACTATCTCTATAGTTACAATGTAATATTATTTCATGAGAATTATTATCAGTGAAATGGGCTGTATTATTAAATCCAATCTCTGTTTTTTTTAATAATTCATTTTAAAATAATACCAATACGTTCTTTTGATCAGTTAACAGTTCTTTTAATTTTTTCAGTTTCAGTTTATAATAAAATATTTAATTAGTATTTTTGCTTTATTTAACCCTTATTGAAAGATTGTTTGTTGTGTTCTGTACATACGAGCCCAGTCGCATATGAATTGGATCAAAACAAATATTCTACACAATATTATTTTCCCGTGTAAACAGTTATTTTATATTAATATCAAATAGTTAGATAATATCCGATCAATTAGTAGTAGCAAAATTACTATTAACTCAACAAAAAAAAAAAATTGTGTAGAATATTTGTTTTGGTGAATATTATATTTTTTACGAGAGTATTATGTTGACTAAGTTCATATAAAAATTGATCCACAAACGCTTCATTACCGATCTACCAAAATTTCAAATTTTATTTTGATATTTTTTGAGCTCCTGCAGTTTTTGAGATATTATCCAATTGTTCTTCACAAATGGCTTTTAAACGTTTTTTAAACTGCTTCAGAATTGCTCTTCTAAAACCGGTTCTAAATCGCTCTAAAATTGTTTTATAACCGCTCTAATTGCTTGCTCTTCTAAGCCCTCCAAAGATTTTGTAGAAGATCCTTTGTCCCCTATAAACATCCCAATTTTGTAAGATTCTCTCTTGCTTGGATTAACAATCCTTTTACAATTCAATCATACTATTTCAATTTTTACACAATATGACATCCGTCATATCGTGCTTGTGATAGTGCTTGGAAGTTCTAAAATAGTAATATTTTAATTAATAATTACACTTTTACAACAGACATTTCTCGACAATTAAAAACAGAAAATTGCTTACATTTGCTGATATCAGCATTTCCTGTGCATTCGGAAACTGAACGTACTGGGGAATCAAATTTGCCAACGAATCCACAATGATTTTAAATACTCCATGGGCAGTGCTTCTTGCGAGTCCAAATCTATCTCCTGCAGCTAAGAAACACTGCGGTTTCCGATGGTCCATAGAGAAAATATTTTTTTATCAAAGTCAATATTGTCCCTATTGTGAGCAATATTGTTTCCCAGCATGTTGCGTAGGTTCTGAAATTTTATTAATGATCAACAGATTTAATATTTTGTGATTGAGAAACATACCTGAAAGGCTCCTCTAATCATTCGAAAATGTTCTTTGAAAAGATCATCTGAGAATCTTGGGACGGTCACTTTAAGGAAATCATCATTCATAGGTTTCCTTACTCGTGGAAGTCCTTCTAGATTATCATTTCCAATTGGTTCATCGAGACCCAATATCAATGCATTTAAAACATCCATATTATCGTCATCGTCATCATCATCATGCGCCAAGGCTATAATATTTGCAAGAATATTATTTTCACCTTCAGCCATTATTAATATCTCAATTATAGCAGGATAAGGATTAAACAGTATAATAACAAAACATTTTATATTTATTTCACCTTCAACCTTTGATAGATGAGGAAATAGAGGAGACGGATGAGGAAGAAGGTACTTTGGAGATTGTAAAATGGTAGAAAATGATTTAGGTTTGGGAATAGGAGCTTTGGAAATGGTTTTTTTTTTGGTCATTTTGTTGAAAATTATCTATTAGTGTTTTCTAGGGTATTGTGGGTCTATTAGGAAACTTTCTGTTGAATAAATCTATTCCAAATCTATTCTAAAAAGTTCTAAATTATTCTAAACAGTTCTTAATGTTTCTGGAGCATTCTAAATTGTTCCAGACGGTTCTAATTCATTCGCTACAGTTCTAAATAATTATAGACATTTCTAAATGATTCTGGGTTGTTGTAAATGATTCTAAAAAGTTCTAAATTATTCTAAACAGTTCTTAATCTTTCTGGGGCATTATAAATTGTTCTAGGCGGTTCTAAATCATTCTTTACAGTTCTAAATGATTCTAAAGAGTTCTTAATGATTCTGGCGTGAGCAAAAACCTTCATTACTTATAAAAATTGTTTTTAAAAAATTTAATTCTTCACTAAAGACTATAAAAGTTTCAATGTACTATTTTTATGATAATTATTTTAACTATTTGAAATCCATTCATAACCATTTCTACCTCGAAAAAATACAATCTAAGAACTGATATGAACTGAACAAAAGTGTTCTTACAAAGTTAACAAGAATTTGGTCCAGGACAATTTAGAGTGCTTCTGGATGCATTAAAACTAGTTCAGAACAATTTAGAGTACTTCAGGATCAGAACTATTATTGCATTAGAACTATTTAGAACTTAAATTTAATCGAAATCCATGCATTAATATTTAGAAAAACAAATGTCGCTACAAGTTTAAAAAAATCTATTTGAACTCGAGTGGATGAATAAATATTATTTTGATAATATTCGTTAACTCCCTAGAAGACATTGAGGGGGCCTCACCCGCAAAAGAGCACTCCTAAAATCCCTCCTAACCCAACATCAACCCTCTTTCCTATTCCTAATCGACACCCTCACTCGTCTCCCCCTCCACATTCACAGGTTATCAAATTTTCCACACCCCTAAAAACAATTCCTGCCGGGGTAACGCTATCCTAGTGAGACACGGAATCCCGCCTCTCGATAACCTGGACTGCTTAGCAATTGACATCTGACAAACTAATACCATTACCACCGTTATTTCCACATATTTAAACCACATAACCCAAAACCTACCCCCTCTTCAACCCCCCACCACCCCACTCGAAATCGAAACCTTTACCCAGAACCTACATTCCCTAATCTCAGATGCCTGGCATATTTTTACCCCTCTTACCACACTTAACACCGCCGCCCATCCCCTACCCCCTCACATCCTATCTCTTATTCGACAAAAACGTCGTATCTAACAGTGGCTCGATCTCACACGTGGACTTGATTACCTTGATAACTGGACAAAAATCCAAGACCCACTCCCATCTCCTCATCAATGGCCAATTTCTCGTCACCAATGAACAGAAAGCAGACGCTTTTAAAACCCACCTCCAAGAAACTTTTTCTCCTCAAAACAACCCCAATTTCAATCGAAATTTTTTCACTAAAACCGAAATTTTTGTCCGAAACCTTTTAAACCCTCTACGCCCCAACCCCCCTCCCCTAACCTAACCTTTCTCCGTTGTCGGAATTTCCAAACGCTGCAAATTCGGAAAAAATTCCACCCCTGGCCCCGACTCAATATCCCGTCGCTCCCTAAAAAACCACCCCGATTCCATAATGCCTAACTACCCTTATGAACGCCTGCCTCCACCTTTCCTACTTCCCCACCCTCTGGAAATCCTCCAACACCATACTTATCCGGAAACCCGGAAAGGACCCCACCACCCCTAATTCCTACAGACTCATCGCCCTCCTAAATGTCCTGTGGACACTCTTTGAGCGCCTGCTTAAGAAGCGTTTCTGGGAATTCCTGGACTCCCAAAGCATTATTCCTCCTTTTCAAAACGGTTTTCAAACCCATCACAGCACCCAAAACTCCCTCCTAAATGTCTAAACCCAAATCACCCGCTCACCTTAATCAAGGGTATGTCGCTTCCGCCATCCTCCTTGACGTCCAAAAAGCTTTCGACCAAATCTGGCATGCTGAACTTGTTAAAAAACTCTCCCAAATAAATCTCCCCCTCCCCATCATCAAATTACTCCATTCCTACCTCCACAACCCCACTATTAGGGTAAAAGTAGGCAACCACATTACCGACCCCTTTCGCCCCTTCACCGGAGGCCCCCAAGGATCCATCCTTGCCCCCCCCTCCTATACCTTATTTACACCTACGAAGTTCCCCCTCCTCACTCCCCTAACCACCACATTCAATTCTACGCTGACGACACCATCCTGTTTACCACCTCCAAAAGAACAGAATCCCTCACACAAAAGGCCCAAAAACAACTCAACCTATTTTCATCCTGTGGCGAAAAATGGCGAATCTCCTTAAATCCTAATAAAACCCAAACAATCCTTTTTACTCAACCCAATTTAACCCTTAACCGTCATGCAAATCGTAGGTTCTTCCGATTAAGGCTTTGGGGCGATTAGCCAACTGTTAAGACACCCTTAACAGGGTGCCACAGCGATCCGGTCTCATCAAGGCTTTGAGGGGAAGAATAAGGAAATGCCACCCTAAAACACTCCTTCACACCTACAAAACATTTATTCGTCCTATTTTCGATTATAAATCCATTGTCTATTCCACTCCCTTCCAAACCACCAAAGTTTCCGAATCCTTATCACCAAACGAAAAATCCTTAGACAAACCCAATACCTCGACATGTTTTTTCCTAGCGATCTAATTTACAACGAAATAAACATTCCTAATATTTTATCTCACTTCCAGACGCTACAAAGCAGATATGCCTGCTGGACCATTCGAGGAACTAACGTCTCAGCACGAGAAGTCCTCTGAGCTGCACCACCACCGTGAAGGTTCAGAAAATCGCGCAGAAAACTTCCACAACCAAACGCCCCTATCCTCCAAGTCTGAGATCCCACATTTATGTTTATACTTTATAAATAAAGGATTTTTAAATTTGAATTTTTTTTTGTAAGTAATAAACCACAAAAAAATATTTTGTTTCCATGTATAATTTGGAAATAAAATATTTATATTTAAATAAAATATTTAAAATGTAAAAATAAGTTTTAAATTTCCAACTTTAAAGGGCTCTAGCTTAAAAATGGGGGCTCAAATGAACAATATTTTGTATGAGTTGTACACTTATTTTGACGTCATCTATATGCTTCCGAATTAATGACATCTATTTTCTGGACACCCTGTATTTTTATATACGTCGTATTGATTGGTAAATTTTGTGCTTTGTAATTCAATAATTCAGGATATTACTGTATTAAATTGTTTATATTTTTAAATAAATACATTTCTAATTTACTGTAGCGCGTTTTTCCGCAGTGGATAGTACACTTACAATTATAACGCCTCGACGACAGTCTTATGACTAACGGGGTTGCTCGGG